ACCACCATCAAGCTTCTGAAAACTCTTTCAGTCTTAATTTAAAAGCATATTCTCTGAAAGTTTGAGTTAGAATAGTTTGCGAGAGTGTGATTATAAATACAATGATGCCGTGAAAGAGGACTAGTGAGAAGATGAATTTACCTGTTCAATGTTAGTTAACAGCGATAAAAATGGGTTAATACTGTTTATGTTTTATGGTATTGAATAAAATGTGAAAACATCTTGAGCTTTTGATAACCGCAGACCTCAATTTAGTTCTTCAACTAAAAACCCATTCAAAAAACCCATTGACTTCTGGAAGTGCTAAAATGCTAACTTGTTTCTGGGTTTTGGCCTACAAAAATGCATCATCCCTGCAGCACAACACTATGCGATATATATACATACCGGATTTATAACATTTATCTTGATGGCACAGACATTTGCAAGTAACTTTATCATTTCCATGAATACTGAAATTTGTGTCATGATAAGACAAAAACATATGTAAAGGTAAATATTCAAATGCACAGGGTTATTACATACTAGTATGTACAGCATAACACAACATAAGACAAGTCTTTCACCCATATTTGTGTTTTTCAGCTTGTTCGAGTAATGTGCTTTTTGCTTGCTTAGCCACATGCTAACGTCAGACTTTGTTGAATTCAACAGTGTTTGTTAATCGATTCCCTCATGCAGTTGAGCAACTTGTGAAGTTTTTTTTTATTCAGATGCTGCCTTAGAAGGCTGCTGTCCATGTAGACAGTGACAGCGACTCAGTTAACTATGTTTTGGACCAGAGCTTCTATTTAAACTTGTTTTTCTACTTTTCCGTGTGTATTGTTAACCAAGATTTCCTCTAGGCTGACAACTAGCAGTCCAGCATTTGGAAAGGCACCTGTAAACTGCCCGTGGCTGCCTACCAACACTAGACATACTATATATGCTGCTTGTTACTGGAGATTGGCATTAAATTACCAAGGTGGCAAGCCAGGGGTGGACTGCCGGAGTCTTGAGGTTGCAAACCAACCCATAGTTTTCTACAGAATTGTTTCCAGTGAAAGCTTCAGGGAAAATTCACTGGTTGTTCAGGTGTTGTTTCAGTTTGCTGGATCCCACACGTACGCCATGCCCTTTTCCTCTGCTACCAGTGTTTGTTCTTCACACTGCTTGCGTTCCATCTGATCCTACCATTAAAATGCTGACCTGAGTGGATGAATAATCACTTGGTGCCAATTATCTTTACACACTGGCAGTTAATATTCACTCCCCTGTCTGCGCTCCTGCATGTTGCTTCCGATAAAAGCCATGTTTGTTTAGTGTTCACACCTCCGTCACCCTCCTCCTCGTACACACAGCTGCACAAGAGCTGCTCGGCGACCAGAAATTAGCTTCTTTCTACCTGAACGTCTCCTCTAACAAGCGTATGCTTCAAGAACTGGCGACCGGGAGTAAGTGAGAAAGAGAAAAAGCTGTAACATGTTGTTAACAATTACTCCGCGAATTATCGTGAATCTCATTAGACTCAAGTTGCACCTTTTAACCTTGTTAGCTGTGCTAGACTGAACACTGGCCCCAGAATGCATGTTGGGTAATTAAAGGTAGATCAGGTGGCGACTAGGCCAAGATCTCTGAGCTGCAGTCGCAATTGAAATACAGATTGCGCAATCTGGCTTGTAATAATGATACAGCCTCTTAAAACAGGATAAAAATATGCTATTTTGGGATATTTTTGGCGGATGAAGAACTGCTTCACTGGAGCCGTTGAAACAGGCTTATCTGTGCAAAGGTTAATGAGGAGCGGGGTGGTGTTGGTAAGTAAGATACAACAAAAGCTCTGTCGTTCATATCAGCGAGCGCACATGCCGTGGAAGAGCTGCAGGCATCGCCAGGCACACTGGGAAACACTGATATGATTCCTGTCTCTCCTAAAGTATCTTCAGTTTGCCTAATTACTTTTCTGCTACTCCAAGTATGCTTGTTAATGATGGAACCATTATTGCTCCGTGACCGTTCTTGATGATAGCCGTGATACGGAATTCAGGCATTTTAAGTGCACGTGAAACGAGTTACGCAGTTTCCTAACCAGGCGCAACACGACTAGTTTACAGGAAAAGTGATTTGTTTGTTTATGCTGAAAACAAAAATGCTGTGCGAGGAAACACAATTACCGCTAGCAAGAACGTATTTGATGTTTAATACAGTTATTTAAAGTTAGGTTTTGCACTAATGAGTTTTCAAGTCATGACATGTGGCGTCGGATCAGTTGCATCCCAATTCAGGGGCTGCATACTTCTAAGGCTGCAAAGGTCAAAATGAGCATCGCTAAATGGGATGTCTAGCCTACAAAAGATCGCTCTTGTCATCTAGCATCTGTGACAGTTGCCATTGACGGGCATCAGTAAAGTTTGTACTGGACTTTTTCTGAATGTTATATTCAACTGTCTAAAAAACAAAACAGGGTTCACAACATGTCTAAAGTTCACCAGATACATTTATGTACATAAAAAGTATAAATAATCTATACAAATTGCATTTAAACTGAATCTAAATTTGTGTTGTTCACTCATGACTAGGCTAATGTTAGTGTAATTCTTAAATTTTACTCCTGTTAAATTTAAATTGGTGTTGTTTATTTTTGTGTTCGCTTTAAAGCTAATGCTAGTATTAGGGCTGCCCTCGACTAAGGATTTTTCTGGTCGACTAGTAGTCGTTCATTTGAAGCATTAGTCGACTAACCGCACTTTTATTAATAAACTTTTTAAATCATTATAATGAGCCTTTAATTGCCTACATAGCCATAAGCGCTCAAGCACACCCATAAAGCTTGGGTGAACTCGGCGACACTTACTCGTCATCTCCGCCGTAGTGATGCACCTTGTTTCATACGGATTACATCATCTGAGAATATTTGTTTTCCATTTGAACTGGTTCATTTGAAAGTAGACATTTCACTCTCTCTCTCTCTCTCTCTCTCTCTCTCTATA